TTCGGTTCCCGGTACCGGAGAAAAACCAAAAAAAAAAAAAAAAAAAAAGAGAGCAGGCAGTCTGGCGGGGACAGAGCTGCTGGGCTCCTCTTCCTCCGCGCTGGCCTGTCCCGTCCTGGGACGCCCCTTCTCCGGACATTTTAGCAAGAAAGGAACTGAGCCATAAACAGAACAGCACTGAGGCCAGATTCCAAGATGCCCGGTACGAAGCCCAGATGTGTTAAACCCCCGATTATTCTTCGCAGATATTTTGTTACTCTGTGACTGTTTATTCCTACAGGGCAGGTGGGGTGTGTTCTTCCGGTGGGGGCAGACCAGCAAGAAGCCCCTCCTCAGGCCGACGTCCTGGACCTGAGGAGATTCAGCCCAGCCACCCCAGCCTCAGTCCCCAGGGTCGATTCCCACAGCGACCCCACCCGTACACCCAGAGCTGCCCCCAGGGCCTCGAGGCTGCAGCGGGGGTGGGGAGGGTGGGGGTGCGCTCCTTGAGGGGGAGAGGGCGAGGTGAGGAGACCTCCATCACTGTGTGCTCCGCTCCGCTCAGGGGTGCTTGTTTATGGGGAGGACTGGAGGGGACGAGGAGAAAGGCCTAGGGGCCCACAAGTGAGGCAGGATAGGAACCTGTAATTTTAAAATTGTACTTTTCACACAAAGCGCAGATTGAGGACACCAACCCGGTCGGAACATCCCGAGCTCCCTGAAGGCACCGTGACTGGCCGCTCCCTCTTCACCGGAACGGCCCTGCCCTGCGGGTGGCGTCATCCGTGCCCGCACAGCCCTCGCCCTTGCCCCGCCGGAGGAGCTGTCGCCGTCCCGGTAAAGGGAGCCCCTCCTTCCGGTCATCAGCACTGCGGTCTCCACCGCACCCCACAGGACGCCCAGCGCGGGGACACACGGTCCTCTGTGAGTCCTTTTAACCACCTGACGAACCTCTTACTGTGCACCCCGAGACCCCTTCTCCGTGGTGGACGTGAACAAGCCTGCCACCTGCCCCGTGGCTGGGGGAGTCAGCCCCCCATCGACCCTGTGCGACCCTCGGACCCTCCGTGGACCCTGACAGGTGGCGCAAAGAGAAAGCAAGCAGAGGCTGGAATGCTGCAGGAAGGCGCAGGACCGGGAAGCAGCAGGAGGAGCAGCAAGCGCTCCGAGCCCTGCGGCCCTCTTGCTGCACCTCACCCACCTTCGTCTTCTCTGGCTTGGGGTCCGGCTGCGCGATGCTGGCCAGGAGGAGCGGGAGCAGGCAGGAGGCCGTCAAGCTCGGGATCATGGCAGTGCTGAATCCACTGGTCTGTGACCTGAGGTCTCGATATCTACGCAGAGGGACACCAGGCCGGCCAATGGCGGGCCGCTGAGGAAGAGGACGGCCACATTCTCACCCACACACACCCACGGCACGCAGCCCAGCAGCGTGGCGAGGACCTGTCGTCTGGTAGAACTGTGGGGAGGCAGTGTCCCAGCGCAGCCACTCCGTGGCCCTGGGTCCTTGGTGCCCCTGATGAAGGAATCTGGTCAGGACAGCAGCGTGCAGGCCTCTCGGTGGACTCTGCGGTGAAGCAGCGCCACAGAGCCCTGTGCCTGGAGCAGGAAGGCTTGAGTTTGGATCCCTTTATGCACACAGAAGCTGCTCCTAGGCTCGGGGAACTGGGGCCATTATGATGTTTACGAGCATTTTTACTTAGAAGTCACCTCGGAGTTGCAAAGTAACTTCCTGTCCTTTGTAGGTGATCAGTGATTCCTCAGGGGCCTTAACCATGCAAGGAACTTAAGCTGGGTCCCAGCCCAAGGTAAAGGGTCTGGAAAGAACACCTCCTTTGCTCAGATCACCGGCTTGGAGCTCTGCAGCCGGAACGCTGAGTGCCTTGTTCTGGAGTTAGATGGCCTTGTGGACTGCACCACATGTAAGCGTGAAAGTTGCTGGGCTCTGTGAGGTCACCGTGGTCTGAGACCTAGGAGGTGATTATACGTATATTATACACTGAAGTTTTTGTTTGTCTACTGGCAGCACATGCTGCTTTGGACCCCTCAGGCCTGCGGATGTCTACCTACCAGCCTAGCAAGGACGAGCCCTCCCAGGCCCTCGAGGACCATCACCCACTTTTCTGCGTGGAGGGGACACCTGGCTGCAAGTGTGGCCTCTCAGATGTCCCACACCATTCCTTGGGCTGTGGTGAACTCAGGGGCAGCCTAGGCTTAGCATGCATAAGGCCCTGACAAAAAGAAAACCAGGGCTGTTACTCTGCTATATTAGTCCCAGCTTTAACAAGAATCAAAGGGTGGCCCCGAGGATCTGCCTGAGAGTTGGGAGGGAGCTGACAGAGCCCGCTGTTCAGAGCACAGGGAGGGGTAGCTTGTTACTGTGTCATGTACAGGTGCTTTCATGAGGCTGAATCAGTAAGAAAGACCCCAAAGGCGGTGAGAGGCTGGCAGCAGGCTTGGAAGACGGGCTTTCCCAGCCTGGCTTGTTTGTCTGTTGTCCTGATGACACTGCCAGCCCCGCCCTGCAGGGAGAAAGTTTCCCTAGAACTACGTTTTAAGCATTTTTCTGGGCAATGCAGGCCACACAGAGACGTGCACTTCTGTTCCGCACGCCTACAAATTGGAGTGTCTATGCAGTTTGGCCAAACTGTTAATAAACTCGTTTTTCCATACTTAAGGGCTTTTCTCAAACTCACACTCCTGATGGTGGGCAGGAGGGTGAATCCAGCTATCGAGGGCCGGATGCATGCGCCTGGCCGGGCTCCCAGTGACCAGACCCACAGGAAATGGGCACCAGACAGGAAAGCAGACAGCATCTGTGGAAGGATGCCGTGTTCCCTCCCACCAGTAACCAGAGAAGTGTGAATATGAACAGACACCATCTGCACTTATCAGATTGGCGCCAGTTGAAAGGAGCGGGGTCCCTAGCCTGGGTGCAGGTAGGTGGTGGAGCATGGGGGTGGGGTGAGGTGTTACTAACATCGCCAGCTTCCTGTGGGGTGCTTGCCGAGTCTGTGTGCAGCCCCTTGTAAAAGTAAAAATCTTTTTTTTTTTTTTTTAAAAAAAAAACTTTTTATTTTGAAGTAGCTATAAATTTCTAGGGAGTTGCAAGCACTCCTCTTAATTTCCTAGAAAGCTGAAGGCCCAAGAAGAAGCATGGAGGTGAGGTGTAAGAGTAAAAATGCTGTCTCTTCAGGACACGAATCCCCTCCCGGTCAGCAGCAGTTTCCAGCTACTGCTCATAGTCCATGAAATAAACAAATTAATCAATGTGGACCTGGAGCCCTGGAATTGCTAGGTTTGTCACATAAGTAACACAATGAGTCCCTACCAGCCTCCCTCCACCTTATCTGTACTCATGTGTCTATGAAGACAGGGGGGTAGTTAAAATCTAGCAGGACCAAGGGCGTCCAGAATCCTGCACTTTGCCAGTTAGACTTGAGTAGAGAAACAAAGACTTCAATACGTGATACTATACGCTCATTCGTTAGGTCTCAGGTGAAGACACAGGCCTTCTATTTCTAGAACAAGGTGGGATCAGGGAAAGAACTATTCTGTAAAGACCCTCCCGCCTTGGGCTGGGACCTGGCTTAAACTAAGAACTTCTGTTTAGTAAATCTTTCTAAATTTCTTGCAGGATTAAGGCCCCTGAGGGAAAAATGACTGCCTAGGAAGGACAGGAAGATATTTCTGGGACACCAAAGCCACTTCTAAGTAAGGCTTGTTAAGCATCCTAATCCCCCCGGTTCCCCGGACCCCAGGAGTAACTCTGTGTGCACAAAAATATGGAAGTCCAGGCCTCCCCTGGAGGCAGATGCCTTTGGAGACGGCCCAGCATCTCAGTGCAGGCCTCTGTCTCCCTAGATCCACTGCACAGTACACTCTGCATGGCCTCCTGCCGGCCGCCCGTCTTGAGAGAATTCGTCATCCTAGCAGACCGGTCTGAGGAGCTCTCCACAAGTGGCTGCTTCCTCAGTGGGTCGGGACCTGGCTTCTCGGTGACATCTCTCTTATCACCCAGACCCTCTGGTTCCCACCTCCACTTCCCTCCCTCACCACCTCGTACAGGAATGTCTAGTGCGTGCACTGTTTGGGTGCTCAGGGACTTGTACATCCGCGTCAAGTTATTAGCTCCTTGAATTTCAAAAATGACTCATGTTTCCCACTGGGACCCCAGTTTCAAAGAGTTGAGTTTAACTCTTAAACTCACAACACCTTGTCATTATCAGGCTGTGCAAGGATTTATTAATTTAAACCAACAAAACAGAACACATTTGTGTCTCCAGTCCAGAGACGACAGGTTGTAGGCGTGGACGTCACGGACCCGACACCGGGCGAAGCACTCAGACACGGCTGCCCTGCGGCAAGGTGCGTGTCTGCGGTGCTGGCTGTTCCTGATGCTTTGGGGACAGAAGGAAGGGACGCATTCGGCAGCCAGCCAGGCTCTGGGGAGATAACTCACGGAGACTCCGAGCCGTGCATGGGGCAGTCGTTTGATCCCTGAACCCCCCTTCCCACGCGTCAGATGATGACAAACTCCTCTCGGTTCTAAGCTTCCCCCACATCCTGGCAGCCTGGCGGCTGGGGGTCTGACTGCTGAGCTCCCAGAAGACTGAGCCTTTTGTTAGCCCGGGCTTGTGATCTCTTCTGGGGAGGCCTCTAAGCCGGGAAGAGGAGTGGCAGGTAATGCCACCTGGCAGCCCAGGCGCCAGCCTTCCGGGACTGTCTGGGCCCCAGGCCCGGCACCCTGCCCTCCCCGCCACAGCTCAAAGAGCTTTGGATAAAAGCATCAGATCTAAAAACAAGGCGCTCAATCTCCTGTCCCCCAGGGCCGTGACGGTGGGTAAGTTGCTCTTTCTAAAATCAGGGCAGTCATGTGAACTGCACAGGGGTCTTCTAAAAAGTGAAGGAGAGGAGTACTCGTTTGCCCTCTTAGTCCCGAGAGGAAGAAGCTGGGGCTCAGTGGAACACGTGGCTCGCCCGAGCTGGGCTCAGGGGTGGCAGCGTCAGGCCCCCGCCCCTCCCTCGCTGCTGTCAACCCCTCAGTTTCTCAGCCACTCCTGGTGTGGGAGAGACGTGGGCACCCTGAGCCCCCCGGGGGCGGCGGAGCGGCCCAGCACCCTGCTTCCCTCTGCTCCCAAGCCCAGCCTCAGGGTCGGCAGGTGGGCCCTTTCCGGCTGTCACTTGGCTCCTCTCCCGGTGGGGTCTCCTCAGCACCCCTCCCGCCGGAGCCACACATCCACTCCCCGGCCGCCTTGCGGACGGCTGAAATCATCCGCTTGTCTTCTCTCTGAGCCTCTGCCCCCTCCACCTGCCGCCCCCCACGCTGGCCCTGGTGACGCCGATGTCCCCTCCCAGCAGGAGCGGCGACGCCGACCAGCTGCTCACGGCGTCAGACAGAGCCTCCAGCCTGTGCCGGGCTGTCCCGCCGCCTCAGCCTCCTCGTGAGCCGCACGACAAGATGAGGTCTTCCCACTCCTCACACTCACTGCTTTGGAGGCAGATTCTGCACCGGGACCCCAGGAGGCTGAGAACTTTGTGGTCCCTCATCCCCAAGTCTGAGTGCCCAGTGTACGCACACAGACAACTGCGGGGGGCACCCGCCCGCGGTCCCCGCCCGGGGGTCTCTGCGTCCTGCTGCAGGACCGGAGCACGCGCCGACTGCTGCACGCCAGGCAGGGTGAGCGCCGCACAGTCTGCCGGCCAGGCTGACATGGCAGTGACGTCAGCAGCGACAGGAGCACGTGGGACCACCGCTGCATACCCGTGGTCCATTGTGGACTGAAACACCGTCATGTGTGTGCCTGTGCGTCTGAGTCACACAATTCGAGAGGACAAGGAATTCTCACTAAAGGACAGGATTGTGATTTTAACAAATTTTACCAAACCAGATTTTAGGTGGAAGTGTTCATGTCCTGAGCGATACATCAGAGCAGAAAATCCATTCCAGGTCTAGGCTGAACCATGAGGTCTGCCACTTCCTGATTTTAAAATGCCTTAATTATAAACATTTCTTCTTTTTTTTGTCTTTTTGAGGCAGGGTCTCACTGTGCAGTTCAGGCCGGCCTTGACCTCAGTTTGTAGCCCAGGCTGGCCTTGAATTTGAACCAATCCTCCTGCCTCAGCCTCTTCAGTGCTGGGATTGAAGATGGATTTGTGACTGCCATGCCCAGCCAACATTTCATGATCTTAAACATGAGGGAAGCTGGGCACGGTGGTGAATGCCTGCAGTCCCAGCACTCTGGAGGCAGGAAGATCCCGAGTTGTAGCCCAGCCAGGCAACTTAATGAC